AAGTGGTGCCTACATTTGACGGATTTGGTTCAAGGAAACCCTTTGAGGATTCGAACATGGACGTTTGGGCACAGTGTTACTTGGAGCCCGCCATTGCTGCTTGCAGCTTTAATTATTAATATAATTGTTAAACAAATATTGTAAAGTTAGTTTAGCTGAAGGGGTCATTGTCGGCAGAGGTACTACAGAAACGTACCCCAGGTATGTTTCTGTATACAAGGGCTGCAACGAATACACTATGAGGCGAATACGATTTGTATCACGAATATAGGGTAACGAATACGAATATTAATTCAGGAATACAATAACAAGTCAGAAGCTGATGTATTATTTGGTATATTCAGTGAAGCAATAACAACATAAATTATTTGACATGGTTTGTTAATTATTAATATATTATACATTTATATGCTGCACTTATCCAGGTTCTAGTATCTGCACAAATGTGACATTGACCAGTGACCACATTACTGTCAAATTAAATAGTATAAGAGTGTTGTCTTTTGAAGAAATGTATGCATATCATATGTTCTTATGGATATTTTTATTTAAATGCACATGCTTGCATGTACACAAATATTCGATTCTAGTGGCCACGAATAACAAATTCAATTCATGAATGGATACGGTTTGATTCACCGAATATGCGAGTGAATCGTAACAGCCCTACTGTATACAGAAGTGTATCCTAGCCCAAATCAAAATACAGAAACGTACGTTAGGATGAGTTAATTCTGCTGCAGGCCGCAATGCGAGTAACTGGTTCTTTAGGTATTCGTCACTTCCTGTATGCCAAATCGTGGTAAAATTCAACATGGCAGTACTGTCTTACTGTTGTATGAGATGCATTCCAGGGTATCATATAGAAAACGGTCATACACTGTCACGTACATACATTAATCTAATATTCCGTGATGCACGCATACACTCGTAATCAGGTGAACTGGAATAACAACATGAACCAGTTTCGGTTTCGGGTTGGGGAATATGGACTCGTCGGCCGTTTCAGGTACCAGGTACGTTTCTGTATTCTAATTTTGGCTAGGGTACATTTCTGTATACAGAAACATACCTAGGGTACATTTCTGTAGTACCTGTGGCAACAACGACCCCTTCGGCATTAGTTTAGTTTTATGGTAGAAACTATGTTGAAAACAAAGGTGAATGATTTACCCTAAGTTAGTTAAGCATATTTTTATTTTGGGTATCCAAATGAAAACATTTACTTTTCTCTTTCAAACAAATGGTAACATGTGTATTGACTACTTTGTTTTAATTTTTTTTTGTATTTACCGATAATAGAAGTTAAGTGGTTAACAGTTCAATGTGGATGCATGTATGTCAATGGACTCTGAGTGAGAATGAGTAATCGACTCCTAATAACTGGTGAAACCTGAGAGATTTTGTACGCTTATGTCTAACTGCTTGGCTTTATCCAGCTTGTTGGTGGTAGTGGGGCTCAGACACTGGGACGGGGCACACATTGATCCTGGCCCGTTTTCAGTCAACAACCATGCTGTTAGTGTGTAAAAGCGTCTTTTCTACAGATTTACGGTGTAGGTGTTCCCTGCGAAGAGGACAACGGTGGTGTTCCATGACTGTAAACAGGCCATGTCTGTCACTGAATAGATGGACGATTGACTGAGGTACAAGAGAGATTTGAATTAATGGACTTTAACAAGAAATGAACACGGAGCATCCTGATTGATTCCAGATCGTTTCACAGAAAATGAGTCACGTATTACGTATCCAAATTTCCCAATAGTCTGTTGCCTCCCACACAGTACGATGTCTATCAAACTATAATAATGCAGTTAAGACAGAACTTGATTATAGAAGCCTTGGGATGATCGTGTTCTGTTTACCGCTATTGGTTAACAAGGAGTGGTGAATCAGTTTCAGTGTTCATGATTATTTTTTTTTCATCAAACTAATTATTTTGTTTTTTATATTTGTAATGTTCAAGATGTGGTTATGATCTTCATGCTCTCAAGGTAATTCCAGTCTGATGTTTTCCCTGAAATGTGTAAAAAGGACAAAATGTTGAAGCATTTCAAGATGGCTGTTTTAGCATGGAGGTGATAGTGATCACACATGGTTTAACTATTTAATAATTGTCAGCTTGCATATATGGCAGTTTGTTGTAGGTTTAGGTACCAGTTCCAAAGTTTGATGTCTGATGAATCTCAGTTCCTTAAGTTTTAGGGTGTGTGTGCGTGTGTTAATAGCCCTGCAATTGTCCATCTGACAAAATCATCTTACCTGATTTCTCAATGTTTTGTATAGTACCTAAACAAAGCAAAAACTCCAATCATGAGATTGTGGTCACTGTCAGGGGGAGTTGAGAGGAAAACCAGTCAACTTGGCCTCTAAAACTGTTTGTAGGAGGGCTAGGGTTTGGTCGTTAGCGACACTAAAATATGTTTGTCATTTTTCCACAAACAGTGTGTTTTTGAGTATTAGTGTACGGGCTCGATTTAACTATAGTAAACTATGTTTATAATAAACACGTTAATAACGAACTACGGTTATTACGAACTAAAATTAGTGGTCCTTGAGGTCGTTAAAACCGTAGTTTACTGTATATAAAACCTGCACCAGCGGAGCCTATTATTTAAAAGTTCAACCAAATCCTTACGTCAACATGCACAAAGTGCATGTATTATAAAAATATAAATTGTTTCTGACTAACCGTTACTTTTCTGTTCAACAATGATTTGTGAACACACTCAATACCTCCAAGCTTCATGTACCATCACTAATCCCTATGTTATGTGTAATTAGTCATGCTTTCTTGGGCTTGATGTCATCAGACTGTGGGTACTGCAAGATTATGTACACTTGTTCCTTTATGCTTTATAACAATACGTTATTAATTGACATAAAATTGACACAGTCATCTGAGGTCTGAGACTTTATATATTTAGACTAATCTATCCATCTGTCATGTCTATGTTTCAAATTTCATCAATTTATTGGACAAGGGTGCAACCTGTTTTTGTCTGGAGCAACTAGGTTTTCATGTCAACATGCATCTGAACGAAGTTCCTTAAATTGAGCCCTGCTGTACAAGGGAATCAATATCTTTTAGGGGGCGATGGGTATGTCTCAAAACTTAAGGAAATAAAAAAATTTATCCTGCATTGAAATTTTGAACTGGTCCCTTCGTAATTAGTGAATTCCTGAAGGTGTAGTTATTGGAAGTTTGATGATGGTTTATTAGTTTGTCAGTTTGGTATAGGAGCAGTCAAAACCAAAGTTGTAAATGCTGTGCTATAACTGAAATACTATTGAGGGAGATTCTAAATCCCTCTCACTGTAGTCATTTCTATGAGGTGAGCTACCAGCCCTATGAATTTGTGTCCATAGCTCTCAGTGTTGTTAGTGTATTATCAACTGGTTTGTCTGGGCCATACATCAAGTGAGTCCCACATGGGTTGTATTTTTGCATGAGGCTTACCAATTAATCCAGACCTTGTCATTCTGATTCCACCATCGGCGCTGCAAATTGTTGGGAATATGGTGATGAAGTGTAAAGCGATATTCATTCTTTTTTCTATGCTTTGACACTGAAATTTGTTTTTGCCACATGAATAAAACAGTGACATGCCCCCAATGCATTTAGTTTTGTATTTATGGACCAGACAAAATGATGTGTTGAGCATGGAAAGGGCTTAGTGTATTTTTTTAAACACATCCTTGCAACGTCTAAAACACGTCTGGCTTTATTCCTTCTGGATAAGGGGCTGGGTAGCCCAGTGGTTACAGTGTATGCTCATCACACCAAAAGGCCTTGGTTTGATTCTCCATATTGGTACAATGGGGCTGGGTAGCCCAGTGGTTACAGTGTATGCTCATCACACCAAAAGGCCTTGGTTTGATTCTCCATATTGGTACAATGGGGCTGGGTAGCCCAGTGGTTACAGTGTATACTCATCACACCAAAAGGCCTTGGTTTGATTCTCCATATTGGTACAATGGGGGTGGGTAGCATAGTGGTTAAAGTGTATGCTCATCACACCAAAAGGCCTTGGTTTGATTCTCCATATTGGTACAATGGGGTTGGGTAGCATAGTGGTTAAAGTGTATGCTCATCACACCAAAAGGCCTTGGTCTGATTCTCCATATTGGTACAATGGGGGTGAGTAGCATAGTGGTTAAAGTGTATGCTCATCACACCAAAAGGCCTTGGTTTGATTCTCCATATTGGTACAATGGGGGTGGGTAGCATAGTGGTTAAAGTGTATGCTCATCACACCAAAAGGCCTTGGTTTGATTCTCCATATTGGTACAATGGGGGTGGGTAGCATAGTGGTTAAAGTGTATGCTCATCACACCAAAAGGCCTTGGTTTGATTCTCCATATTGGTACAATGGGGGTGGGTAGCATAGTGGTTAAAGTGTATGCTCATCACACCAAAAGGCCTTGGTTTGATTCTCCATATTGGTACAATGGGGGTGGGTAGCATAGTGGTTAAAGTGTATGCTCATCACACCAAAAGGCCTTGGTCTGATTCTCCATATTGGTACAATGGGGGCGGGTAGCATAGTGGTTAAAGTGTATGCTCATCACACCAAAAGGCTTTGGTTTGATTCTCCATATTGGTACAATGGGGGTGGGTAGCATAGTGGTTAAAGTGTATGCTCAACAAACTAATAAGACCTGGGTTTGATTCTCCATATAGGTACAAAGGAGTTGGGTTGGGTTGTGATTAAACTGATTAGACTGAACATCCAGGTATTCATTGACTTGATTAACTGATTAGACTGGACATCCAGGTATTCATTGACTTGATTCACTGATTGAACTGGATATCCAGGTATTCATTGACTTGAATTAACTACTTTCAAACCACTGTAATATTGTTGACTTCACATCCCTGTCAGCTTTGAAAGAAATAATTTTCACATAAAATCTAACAGGTAAGTCAATGCATGTATAAAAATGTCAGTGTGAAAATGAGCCAGAATATGTGTCATGAATCCCATTGTATTTTTCAGATATTTCCTCGAAGGCCTCTGATACTCTACTGGAAACACTACCTGATGTGGTGGAAATCGGCAGGAATCACACAGATATAGAAGTAGTACCTGAAAAGTTAAAAGAAGCTGAAAACTATTTCTTGTAAGTTGAATATCAAATAGTATGTGTATATATTCATCCTATTTACACAGTTCAGGTCAGACTGGATTCTCAGTACTGCATGCTTGTCATAACAAAATGTAAGCACTTCAGCATCCCTCCAGACTCAATTATTTACAGACTGCGGTCATATAGCTGGAATTTTGGTACAAACAAACAAACCATCCAACCAATACCTCCTCTGGATTAGTGTATTGAACTTGTTGAAGCATGCTGAGTGAGTGAGTGTATGAGTGAGTTGGTTTAACACCGTTTTTAACAGTATTCCAGTTATATCACGGCGTGTCAGCTTAATGTGGGAGGAAAGCCCAAAGTGATGCTGGTCTCAGACGTTTATCACTTCAGTGAAACCCACGAGCACCGGTATGGTGCTGACAAACCTGGAAACATAATTGAGGATTCAACCCACAATCATAGGTTTCTGGCATGCCCAAGGGACGCAACTCTGCACAGCAAATCGCAGCGCCTTATACAACTGGGCCACCCATGCCCCCAATCGGAGCATCCTGCTCAAATATTCCATCAGAAACTTTATGGGTGATCAAGTATGGTACAATTTAACATACTGAATTATTTACAGACTGCTGTCTTATAGCTGGAATATTGTTGAGTGTGGTGTTAAACAACAAACAAACAAACATATTTTTCAACCAAATTATGTGATAACTGAATGCCAAAGTGATGTTTGTGTATTGCTGATGTGAAAAGTACCTGAAACAGACATAAAATATTTTTTAACAAATTAAAAATTCCTTAAAACATAACTGCTTTTCCTCCTCTCAGTAAATGTGATGTATCGGCGGGTAGACAATCAGAATGTTTGCTGTTTATATATCCCAGACAGGAAAGTTAGTATATTCTTTTGACTTTGATTTTAACTCATGTCTGGAATTGTTAGAGAAAATTGATATGAATATAATCAAACTTTTTCAACATTAGAATAGTGTAAGTGTATTATTGTCAATCCCATGTTTTTAAGTGAAAAGGAGAGGTATAAATACAATTTAAGAAACCATGGCAACAAGACTGGAAGTTGGATATAATTTGTAATGTTTACATATTGGATTATTTGTATTGTTAGTACATGCTTTTTAGGGATATTGGTGATGAATTTTTGGCAGCTTACAGGTATCCCATAAGTATATCAAGGAGCATTGTATCGAGGGCTCACTGGACTATGATTGGTTCAACGACTATCATCCTGAAACATTTTATCAGTAATCAGTTAATTTTTTTTTTCACATGCATCAAACTTTGATAATTTTTCCAAAAGTGTTTTTTGAGCCATAACCATAAGAACTTCAAAACAATAAAATTTCAATGAATACATGTATATTCTCAAATTAGTGTAAAGTCTTTTATGTATAAAGTTCATCATTAAATGTTCTATGCGAGAAGGTCCGGGGTAGAATAGGTCTTCAGCAATACATGCTTGCCTAAAAGGCGACTATGCTTGTCGCAAGAGGCGACTAACGGGATCGGGTGATCAGGCTGGCTGACTTGGTTGATGCATGTCATCGTATCCCAATTGTTTGGATAGATGCTCATGATGTCAATCACTGGATTGTCTGGTCCAGACTCCATTATTTACTGACTGCCATCATATAGCTGGAATATTGCTGAACAAACAAAACAAAAAAACAAAATCATTAAATGTTCATGGCACGTGATGGAGCAGTGGTGACTGAATCAAACAGATGTTAGTGAGCCAAGCATCCGCTGATTCAAGTGATTCTGATCAGAGGTCGGACGCCTTGTCCACATGACCAAAGAGGTTAACCCCGTCAGCAAGCTGACAAGGTAAGGATGTCATCTGTGGGATGACTCCACGCCCTGCTACATACTCCCCCGTCAACAGAAGGCACGTCCCGGGCCGCATAGTAGGATACTGAGGCTTATTTTGCTCAAATTTAATATGAACATGCTCAGCCCCACGTTGGGCGCCAATGTAGCGGCCATAAAATTTCTGAGTCCCGTGATGGGATTCGAACCACGGACCTTCTGATCAGAGGTTGGAGGCCTTGTCCAGATGACCAAAGAGGTTAACACTGTCAGCAAGCTGACATGGTAAGGATGTCCGCCGTGGGATGACTCCACGCCCTGCTACACAAGCATACCAATTCATACTCTCCAGTGTTAGGAATTACCTCTGACAATTGCCATTTGTTGTTTCAGTAAGGATGTATTAAACGTATCAGACGGGCTCTCTGACACCGGTCAGTTGCAGCTCCACCTGGTGGTGTGCTTGTTACTTGTCTGGCTGACCGCAGCCTTCATCATCATCTGGGGACCACATTCCATGGGCAAGGTAGGCACCAACAGCATAACTACAACTCTCACACAGAACTGTCACACGTAACGAGACCACAAAACCATCACGCATGACACACAAGACCATCACACAAAACCATCACACTTACTCCCACGTACAGTACAGTCACACATTCACACATGGCCTTCACACACACGCATGCACGCACGCAAACAAACAAACACACACACATGTGTACAATACAGTCACACACACACACAACCTTCACACATACACACACATGTACAATACAGTCACACATTCACACATGATCAGACCACAAAACTGTCGGACATATATTATATGTGGCTTTACACAATCTGAAATAAGAAAACACTCTTCATTTCCATCAAATCATTATTCAGCTGTTTTCAACAGATGTGTATCGCACATAATATGATATTCCTAAAATGTTCATAGTTCTATCAATGATGTGACTATCGCCAACATGTATGGATATGCTTTTACTCCCAACATTATCAAGACATTGAGAAATAGGCCCATGAAGGTAGAATATGTCATCAGCAATCCATGCTTGCCGAAAAAGGCAGTCGACTGTGCTTGTCGTAAGAGGCAACTAACAGGATTGGGTGGTCAGGTTTGCTGACTTGGTTGATGCATGTCATCAATCCCAATTACGTGGATCTATGCTCATGTTGTCAATGACTGGATTGTCTCGTCCAGACTCGATTACTTACAGATTGCTGTCATATAGCTGGAATATAGCTGTGTGTGGCGTTAAAACAACAAACCAAACCAAAACCAAAAAGAAATATGATAAGGCCATTAATTATTAATTTGGGAAACAAGGATCCTAATTTCTCGACCCTATTTGCACCAAAAGTGGAAAGAAAAATAAATCAAAATTAACATATATTTTTGTTAACCTTTTTCCGCTGAAATGTCACACATGCAAAAATACTTGTGATGCAAGTGATCACAGCACTCTAACTCCCCTTACTGCAATAGAGCCTCGATGGCTGTGAAAGAAAAACCTTGTGTTATTAGGATCTATGGGCAGTGGGAGGGTAGACCTGCACCATGACTCTGGAATGTATATGCAAGTCTAGGCAAGTCTAGATCAAACTACACCAAGTCTAGTTTTCTTGATTCCACAGCAGAAAACAGAAAACAGCAAAAGAGAAAAGGCTCTTTTGAAGAAAAAATAGGATAATCATTTTAAAGAAATGTTTTCATTGACTAAGTGTTCGTCTAGCAGTTGGGTAGCCCAGTGGTTAAAGTGTTCACTTGCCATGTACCCCCCATGGGTACAATGTGTGAATTTATTGTGTACATTGTGATACAAGGATCAAACTTTAGGCAGGTTGGGGGTTAGACTAGCGGTTAAAGTGTTCACTATATTTAATGTCCCTGCTGTGATATTTGCTGGAATATTGCAATATATTCTACTGAAGAGAAGTTAAAGAATGTTTTCCACTATAGTTAATCTGTCATGGCTGGTGGGAATTGCAACACACAGCCTTCCAATTCTGGGTGTTGTTTAACTTATCTTGAGTAGTATAGCTGTGTGAAACTACTCTCACTCATCCATTCTGTGTTCCAGGCAGCCTACATCACAGCTATTGCGCCGTTTGTCCTCTTGTTTACCATGTTCATCGCTCTGTGCCATATCGACGGTGCCGTCCAAGGAATCAAAGCCTTCTTGATGCCCAGGTGGCACATGCTAGGTAAAATACAGGTTAGCTACAGGCTATAAGATGTTCACTAACTAGCATTAGTTGTAGCTGTAGATAGTATCATGCTAGATGATGGAGGTTAACCATGGCTATAAGATCTAGAAATAAGTTGTATTAGTTATTGCTATGGTAACATCTATACTTTTAAGTTCAACCTGCGAAAATCCGGGGTAGAATGGGTCTTCAGCAACCCATGCTTGCCGTAAAAGGCGACTATGCTCGTCGTATTCCAATTGCATAGATCGATGCTCATTATGTCAATGACTAGATTGACTGGTCCAGACTCGTTTATTTACAGACCACAGTCATATAGCTGGAATATTGCTGAGTGTGGCATTAAACAAAAGAGAAAACTGAGATAAACTTTTATGTTCATTAAATGTTTTCAATGTGTTTGAAAATTGGGGAATTTTTTTTTATTTGTCTTGTACAGATGTGAGTGTGAAACCTGTTTCTTCCCTATTTGCTTGCCAGAGGCACCCTGTTTAGAATTGTGCATAAATCCCTGATGACTTGCTCCTTTTCATGAACAATATCTTGTGAATATCATTCTTGAATAAACATCTTTGTAACCAGACTTGAAAATCATAGCAGCAGCATAAACCTGGAATAAGTTAACTATAAAATCCAGACTGTTAAAAATACCTTTTGACACTACTAGCCCAAACATGGCCCTGTTTGATTTCCCACATGGGAACAATGTGTGAAGTCCATTTCTGGCGTCCCCTGCCGTGATTTTGTTGGAATATTGCTAAAAACGATGTAAAACCTTACTTACTCACTCTGAATCTGAACCATGTCTGCTGCTCCCGAATCACAATCCTATTACAAATGAGTTTTAAGTGGGTGAAAATTAAATGATGTTTTTTGTAAACTTGTGTATTACTCCCCCATGAAGAGATCACCTGTTTTATAACAGTACACCTTTAATACACCTTGTGTAATATCATCACATGCAGATGGAACTATTTTGGCATCCTTCAAATGGGGTGTCGTCAGCACTGTACAACTGTGCTCTGTAGCATCTACTCTACTCGGGGGCACGGGTGGCCCAGTCGTCTTAAGGCGCCGCGATTCGCTGTGCGAGGTGCGTCCCTTTGGCACGCCAGAAACCTATGATTGTGGGTTCGAATCCCAGTTCGCCCCGATTATGTTTCTAGGTTTGTCAGCACCATACCCGTGCTCGTGGGTTTCACCGAAGTGGTAAATGTCTGAGACTTGCATCACTTGGGGCTTTCCTCCCGCATTAAGCTGACACTCCGTGATATAACTGGAATACTGTTAAAAGTGGCATTAAACCCAACTCACTCACTCACTCACTCTACTCTACTCTATGATAGACACTATTTTTTCTGCATGCATGCATCTCAAAACTGTATTGTTTACATATTTTACTGGAGTCAAGTCAAGAGTTTATGTTGTTGCATGTGATCTATCACGGAGCTCGTTGACAAATGCATTTGAAATAGAGTATACAGACTCTTACTTTTGTATTGTACTAGTACAAGCATCATAGCTGTAGAAAATTTCAGAGAATCATTAATAAACAAAGTATTCTGTCAAAAGCATTCATTGCCCCCTCTACTTACGACCTTGAACTTCGAGTTGTAAGTGAGAGTAGCGCCCCTAGGACCAAGTGGACAGTCGTTACTTTCTGATGCAATCCTTTGTCGTAAATATTTTGTGTGTCTTATCGGTAATTACAACAAATTTCATAATATATCAAATCTCCTGATTCCTATGAAATCACATGGTGAACATGACATGACTCAACTCGCCAGCTCCACTCACTCTGCGTTTGAAGCTAGATTTTTTAGTTGCACGCAAAACTGTGTGATGGTTATGTATATAAATGCTCTCATAAATATGATTTGAGAACCAGCATCATATTGTTTCTTATAATCATCACGAAGAAAGCTGGGCACTTTATTGCCAGGTTGAGAACAGCCTATGGTCGAATCCTCAGCTAGGAATGTGGTATTCATACGCCACTCTTACACCACAAACATATTTTTCAATGGTGAATTTAGATTTTATGCAAAGTTTAAGTGAGTAGAATGCTACCCGTGTCCCCGTTAGAAACCTTTCTTATTACAACTAGCGTATTTCAAAATGTATCAAACTTGCTTTCACTCGTTATGTTCACTTTCCCTCATTATATTCACTTTAAAGCACACTCATTGTAATAAAAATGTTTTTTGACGGGGACTTAATCGATATAAGTATTGCTTTTTCTAATATTTTAGATATATTCACAGTGTGGTACCTACGTGTGGCTGGTTAACAGAATGTTTTACCACATTTGAAGTTACATTAAGTTGGGAAAGAAAATGACATTCTTTTATTAATATACATCTTTATATCGGCATAATTTGTTGAGAAGTGTATGATGTTAGGCTTACAGGAATATGTATGTGGAGAGAAGAAAATTTAGTATCTATAGTTCATGATTTTAATTTTAATTTTCTATGAAAGATAATTTTTAGCTGATGTGTGAAAAAGCAAACTTTCCTCATTCAAATATGGGGCGACAATATTTGGGCCATATTTGTGTGGTGTTTTTGTGTATGGTGATATAAATGAGTTTCATTTCTCTCCACATGTATACTGAAGGTGTGGGCAGATGGGTGTCGCCTTGTACTGACCACGCTAGGATGTGGTACAGGGTGTATCATCACGTTATCAGGATACGCACATCTCGGCAGTCATTGCTTCAGGTGGGTGTACTGACCACGCTACTGACCATTGCTTCAGGTGGGTGTACTGACCAGGCTACTGACCATTGTGTCAGGTCAGAATGTTTTTGTCTTTGACATCCCATTCAAACACATCTGCGCTGATGAAATTCTAGCCAAGACATAAGGAGTTGTCTCCCTTTAATTTTTCACTGCTTGAGCTTCCTGCCTTGCTAGTGTCAGAAAACATCTTTCAGATATTATTTGCACATATCCTTTATTATATTGACAATGAACAGATTAAGTTTTTCCTTTCAGTTTTAGCGATTTTTCAGTTTTTTCATTTGTCTTTTCTTCAGAAACTGCTTGTGCGTGACATTTGCCAGTATCGCCACGACAACAGTAGCTGGTTGCTGCATGTTCTCATTGCTGGGTGTCTACGGTCTGTCATCAAATCGGCCAATCAGCAACCTCACCCTCACAAGTATACTGTCACATCTTCATCCATCGTATTTTACATGTTTTATGCATCTGCAGGATGTACATACAGGAATATGTTTAATCAGGGAACATATATGATTACTGAAAGCTGGAGGAAGAAGGAATGAGTACCATCATGGGTCTCCTTTCAGGGAAGATATGATGATAATACATATACCCTGTAGCATATATAGAGATTATTATACAAGCATGTGTGCCAAACTGTGTGGGAATTCTTGTATTTTCCGAACAAGAGCAAGGATAATACAGAATTCATTCACGAGTTATATAAAATCAGTATGACACACATGAAAGTGTAATAATTGTTTTATTACCCATTATAGCCTAATCTTTTTTAGCTTCCCTTTGGAAACATCTACTGGACCCTGTTGTATAAAACTGATCACAACCGCTGTCTTAGAAAACCACAATTGTTGAATGACATCAGCAATCTTCAGTTATGACATAGTTTCTAGTTGGACGTCATTCATATAAGATTCAAATGACGTCAACAAATGCCTTCCTGATGACTTAAACAAATCATGCACATTGAGTGATATTTGCACTAGTGCACATGCGCTTTTTATGAACGCGGATATTTCTAAGGGTAGTAATATGCCATTGTTATGTATTTTGTGTTGATAAATATCTGATAATATAAAATGGTTACCTCAATCAAGTGAAATAACACTTTATACTTAAACTATTGTCTATTGTCTCATAGACAGGATGTATATGTTTCAGGATGTATCAGGTTGTTAGCATACTTCTATATGGGGTATATATGTTTCAGGATTTATCATGTTGTTAGAATACTTCTATATGGAGTATATATGTTTCAGGATGTATCAGGTTGTTAGCATCCTTCTTGAGGAGGGTATATATGTTTCAGGATGTATCAGGTTGTTAGCATCCTTCTTGAGGGGGTACATATGTTTCAGGATGTATCAGGTTGTTAGAATACTTCTATATGGAGAATATATGTTTCAGGAAGTATCAGATTATTAACATACTTCAAGATGGGGTATACATGTTTCAGGATGTATCAGATTATTAACTTACTTCAAGATGGGGTACATATGTTTCAGGATGTATCAGGTTGTTAACATACTTCAAGATGGAGTATAAATGTTTCAGGATGTATCAGGTTGTTAGAATACTTCTATATGGAGTATATATGTTTCAGCATTTATCAGGTTGTTAGCATCCTTCTTGATGGAGTATATATGTTTCAGGATGTATCAGGTTGTTAACATACTTCAATATGTGGTATATATGTTTCAGACATTGACTTTGGGTTTGCCATCTTCCCAGCTGTAAGTTCATCACTTTCGGTTGCCCCCTTGTGGTCTGTCATCTTCTACGTCACGCTCTTCATCGCGGGGGTCAGCACCCAGGCGGTCCTCCTCCACACCATCCACGCCGAGGTTGTCTGGAAGCTGCATCTCAACACGCACGTCAGACGCCTCGTCTGCCTCATCATTATCTTCATCCTCCTGTTTTCTGTCAGCCTCGTAACGGCCACACAGGTGATTCAAAGGCAGCTGCCCTTTAAATTTATGATTAAAGTCATTTGGGGGGGCCAGCCCTGATCCCCATGAAGTTATAAGATATTCTCCATGGTCTAGTGGATAGAACATCTACCAAGAGCGGAAGGACGGTGGTTCGATCCCCAGTCGCCTCATACAAAACGACTTTGAGTTTTGTACTTGTTGTTACCCTGGCTATCACTTTACATTAAGGTGATAAAACAAGGACTGGTCGGCTCAGAGTCTCATATACTGTTTATGAGTGGGGTAACCATTTAAGACTGAGGTATGGTATCTCAGTGGGGTAGCACTATAAGACTTGCATTAGACCGGACTAGTACAAGCAGCCACACACACAAACATACATGTACATGTGTAAGAGTGAATATTATCCTACTCTATTTTCTATCCCGGGGATGAAATTCTCTAGTGTCAGGATGATTCTCCCTAGTAAATTTGAACCCATACCAGTGTGTTTAATCCTATCCTATGCTATACTCTGGAGTAAAACTTCCCCCGGGATAATATTTAGGTAGGATATAATCCTTGCTTACACATGCACATCGCTATATAAGTGCAGTAATCTTGAATGCTATGTTAAACGCCATTTTACCTCACCTCACCATAAAGTCATACAATCTGACTGATGAGGAGACCTGCCTGATTGTTTGTCATATGCTCGTGGTATCAACCACTGGTTTGCATGTCCCAGATTCAAACTGTTACAGGCTGGGGTGATATACCTGTTATACTGCTGACTGTAACATAATACAAAGTCCCTTTCTTGCTGGTATTTTGTGTGGACTGTGTTTTTTACTCATAGGTCAGTGGTTGTAAACAAATGGTAAAAAAAAGATAATAAGTTGTCCGATGCTTGTCTTGGTGAAGTTACAACCGTGACATAAATACACACTGTATTCACTGCTGAATTAAGCGCCCTGCCTTAATAATTTTGGTGGAGGTGTCACGAAAAAATATGGGGGGAGAGTCTTAAAAATGATACACATATTTTGGGGGGAGTGTCATGGAAAAATGGACGGTTTATAAGAAAATATAAGATAGCTGCATGATAAATCACAAAGAACAATGAGGAACGAAGCGTGGTTTATTTCATGAAAAAACATTTTTCTCTTGTGACGTCATTTCTGGAGATTCAAACATGCCCTCGCAACTTGATGACGTAATAAATTGAACAAGGTTATTTTTGAGAGGGGGGCGTCTAGTGAGTTGTTCCCCATAAGTTGTAGCTGGGCAACATAGATAAACGCAATGGCTGAACAATTGCATCCAAAAGAGGGAGAAATTCGACAATCGGTATTGGGAGAAAAGGTGCAGATAATCAACGTGCTAATTATGAGAATATGCGGGAAAGACTTGTATGGACTTGTCTGACATTGCCGAGGATTATGATTGTATTCAGGGATTCATCATTACTTAAATATGGGTAAATAGTTTTAGATCTTGTACATTTTATTAACACCCTTAAAGAGGCTGTACATAATGTTGATATCTCGTATAAGAAATAAACGAGTGGGAGTACAATAAAACACTGCAGGGAGAATAAACCATGAGGGGCCTTAAATATAAAGTGTTTCTGTATATTGTCTTTCTAGGGAGGGTCATGAATAAAGTGTACAAGTTGGTGAGGCATTAAAAATATGACAAGCATTAGGGGAGGGTACCGTATTCGACGTAATAAGCGCCCCGCTCTAATAAGCGCCCAAGGCGATATTTGCTGATATATGGGCTAGTGGACAAGCCCAATTAGCATCCCTTCCGTTTGATCAATGTACACAAGACTTATTTATTCGGTATAATATGCACACGTGTGTTATATGAACCCTCATTTATGGGCAATTAAATTCTGGAAAAATATATCTGTCAACATAAACATTTCAGGCTGTCAGCATAAACCACGAAATTTATCTTTCAACTATGTTTTTTTTTCACCAAAATAATATTCTAATTATTAAGACGCTTATTACGTTGAATACGGTAATTTTTTTCTGTAAATTAGTGAATCAACAATCTCTGAACCTCCAACCCATTTAATAAATGACTGGTCCTTTATAAGACTTTTCCTCTTTTTAAGGCGGGCTTGTACGTAGTTCAGCTCCTGGATAAGTATGTGTACAAAGTGGCCATCCCGTGCATATGTCTGTTGGAGACAGTTGTGACCATGTGGCTGTATGGAGTTCGGAGGTTCGCAACTCGTATATCGGACATGACCGGCAGTGCGGAGAGCCCGTGCATGAGGTGGATGTGGAAGCTTGGCATGCCCATATTCCTTATGGTGAGTCTGCTTCAAAGATAAGGATAAAACTATATAAAATATTCTTCATGACACTAGAAAAGGCTTCATTCTGATTGGTAAGAATCAGGTATCTAATTCCATTTGATACCTCAAAACTAACATGCCTTTTCACACAAATCCTTATGTTTGAAAACATTGATCTAATGATCGCATCGATGCATATAACATATAACAATGGCCATTTCCAAATGAAAATAAGAGGTGTATAATCTACAGTTAGACTATCTCAAATTTCAAAACGCAGTAGATATGTCTCTAAATAACTCAAAAGAATTTATGTCCCAGCAAAAATATATTTGGATATTTATTCTGAAATATTTTATTTGCTGCTTTGAATGTTTATAGTTTATAATTTTAAACTGTTGGTCTTTGGTATATTACCAGTTACCTTTTAGCTCACCGGGTTTGAAGGACCAAGGTGAGCTTATGCCATAGCGTGGCGTCCGTCGATCCGTCAACCATATTTGTATGGAAGCATTCTCCGGTAGTGAGGATTCAAAATTGTACAAATGGTGGAGCTGACCCCCCAGGGGGCTGAGGGGTGGGGCCAAATAGGCGTAATTTGGCTATATTGCTTTAAACGACTTCTTCTCTGGAACTTAGTATAGATATCAATCATATTTGGTTGGAAGCATTCTCCGGTGGTGAGGATTCAAAATTGTACAAATAGAGGAGCTGACCCCCCCCCCCCCCCCAGGGGCTGAGGGGCGGGGCCAAAAAGTGTTTATAACTTGGACACAGTTAAGATCCCCACTGTATAACCACATGCACCATTTCTGAGTATAATGAGAGGAATGGACAGATGCTATCAGAATGGCCCGGGGGCTCTTGCTCTACCCCTGGAGACTTAACCCCTGGGTCATAACTTTGAAACAGTTGAGATCCCCACCCCATAACCGTACATACAATTGCTGGGCATAAAGAGACAAACACAATCATGATATTAGAATAGAATATTAGAATTATACATGTATACATGTAATTGCTTAGTATAACAAGACAAATACACATATGCTACCAGGACTGACCCTTCTGTTCATCTGTCCGGCACTGCCAAAGGAGTTATAACCTTGACCATGCAAACTGATATTATCCCCATCCTATAATAAACAGATACATTGTATACATTTGTTTCTTAAGAAGAGAATAATACATTTATGCCAATAGGATTTGTCCTTGGGTCCAGCCTTGCCTCTGGAAACTTAGATCCTGGAACATAACATGGAAACGGTTCAGATCTTTATGCTACATTTGTATCTAGAGAAGTACACGTTCATGCTGTCATATTTGCCATCCACCTATTTTAAATGCTGATTGAGTCAAAATTACAAACTATTTGCAGTATTATATACATGTACAATGCAAATGTATATTTTGTTATGATTGCGTAAATATCAATGTGAAAGATACAGGCCCTATGGGCCTCTAGTTTATGTTTGGAACACTGTGACAGATCACCATTTGAGATCAACCATTCGGCTTCCCATGGTCTTGTATTTCAATTGCGAAAACAACATTTAAGAATTGACTTCACTGAGTGAGTTCACTGGGGTATGAACCTTCATAGAGTGAGGGCCAAACTGTATGAACGTCGGAGCTTGCGTGGTAGATCCTTATACCATTGTCAAGCAAGGCGACGTTTCGGTATAGATCTATACAGAAATGTTGCCTTTACAGTAAATAAAGAAGTTGTTATCCATATGTTGTCTCTACTTTGGAATGTTATCATCATTTAACTTAATTATACCCCCTGCGGGCAAGTAAACATTGGTTTGCTCTGTTGAAGTTATTCCACGGCTGACACACTAACTGAAGCAGACATAAAATATTCACAAAAAATATTTCCTAAAATTCTCATAGTTTGAGTTGTATGATGTAGAGTGGCAATGTCAGGGGCTTGCAAGAAGCAGGTTGTAGTTTGTTTCCAAAGATGGATGGTTTACATGTTAACTTGACTTTTATTTTAAATCATGTCTGGAATTGTTAGAAATTATTCACATAAACGATCATTACATTGACACAAGAGTAGGTATGCTACATGTCTACACTTATTGAAATAGGCGACATTATCAGACATTATACCTATGATTAAAACAAAACAAACCATGGCAAGTGACTGTCAGTAGGGTAGCAATGTGTGGCTTAATGACCACTGACCACTCTTTGTGACCAGGCTGAGTTAACATACCCAGTAGTTCCTCTAATAAGCACTAGGGGCTTATTCCCGAACAAGCTTCCAAACCCAGTTGGAAATGGAAGACTGGCGGTAAATAGAGACCAAGCTTTTAATGTTTCAACTTCAACATAAGGCACAGTACCAGTCACTTATAATTTGACATACACAGATTTTATTTATACCCAGGAGAAGTAATTTAAATCTAGCATACTCTGTGATTATTGGATACCCAGCTCTTATTGTTTTGTATGCTGCTTTGTACCCAGTGCTTATTGGAGGCCAGTGTCTATCATATAGAGACTTGGTGCTTTTTAGAGGAAATATGGTATGTCGCTTCATATCCCAATGGCATGAATCCTTTCAAACAATATGTAGTAGATGTTCATCTGATCCAGATTGTGTGAACTGAGTGAGTGAGTGAGTTTGGTTTTACGCCGCTTTTAGCAATATTCTAGCAATATCATGGCCTGGGACACCAGAAATGGGCTCCACACATTGTACCCATGCCGGGAATCGAACCCGGGTCTTCGGCGTGATGAGGGAACGCTTTAACCACTAGACTACCGACCGCCCCATGTGAACTGAGAATGTTTTGCGAATGTTATTTTTTCTTATGTTTGTTCCTCATCTTTCAGTGAACCTTTTATTTTTATTCTAACTTGCAGATAGCCCTTGGCCTGTCTGTTCTGTCTGAGGAGACGGTGAGGGGGCCCCAGGGGACGGAGAACTTTCCTGTGTGGGGGCAGGCTGTGGGCTGGCTGCTCAGCTTCCTACCCCCTCTCGTCATGGCAGGATCTGGCATCATCTTCTTCGCCACCTTCAGTGGACCCTTCAGAGTGGTGAGTTGTCTCCCTTCTTTCAAATTTCACACACATGTATATAGCTGGGACAATGTTGTAACATTTGTTTCAGAAATGCGTCAAAAATAATCTGGAACAAATAATCAGTTCAAGAACAAAAAAGTTCTTCAGCATGTCAAATCCAATTTACATTAATTAGGTCATTGAATCTGCTGTGGTTCTCAAATGGTTTTAAAAAAGAATTACAGTTTTATTCCTGCCTGGCACACAAACACCATAGTGATGATGCCTTAAACGGTTAATGAGTCATCATAAGCATGTCCATCTCTCATTGTACTTAGAAGTGGAACCATGGGTGATTTAAGTAACGTACTTGATAAGAAATACTGTGACATTTTTTTATTTGAAACTAAATGGCAATGCAGAGCTTCAAGTTTCTGTTTCTTTAATATCTTCCAAACTGAGACACATCTAATCTGAAAAGACTGAAGTGAGTAAATGTATATATACTACTCAGAAAATGTTAAAGAGCTCCCATTTCTTTCATGTTAGTAAGTAATTTGTAACGACATTACAGTGAGTGTGAGTGAGTTGGGTTTAACGCCGCTTTTAACAGTATTCCAGTTATATCACAGCGTGTCAGCTTAATGTGGGAGGAAAGCCCGAAGTGATGCAGGTCTTAGACGTTTACCACTTCGGTGAAACCCACGAGCACGGGTATGGTGCTGACAAACCTAAAAACATAATCGGGGTGAACCGGGATTCAAACCCACAATCATAGGTTTCTGGCGTGCCCAAGGGATGCAACTCTGCACAGCGAATCGCGGCGCCTTAGACGACTGGGCCACCCGTGCCCCCCAACGACATTACAGATTAACTATAGTAAGACTAACAAAAATAATAGTCTTGGTTCTCAGGCACTGCCCACATCATCATAAAGTTCATTTCACGTTTTGTTTTTGTTTCCATTTTCCATTTTGTTTGTGCATTGTTTAAGTATTGGGACTTTTATATTTTTTTAAAATGGAAATAAAAACAAAACGTGTGGCAGACTTTATGATGATGTGGGTGGTGCCTGAGAACCAAGACTATTATTTTTTTTAGCCTAATATGAAAGAATTGGGTGTTCTTTAACTACTTTTGAGAAGTATATTTAGTTCCCTTGGTTATCCCAGGGTATTGGGACTTATTCTGTTCAAATGTGATATGAACATTCATTAGTTTAGTAGTTGTAGTGTAAGTAGTAGTTCGTCAGTGTATCCATCTTGTCCACAGTTCGCTTCAGACAAGAGGGTCCTAATGGGTTGTGCTGTTAATTGTAAAACAACGTATGAGTAAAATGTTTGTCGTAAAAGATTTATGTAATATGTTAAAGGTTGATTAATATGTTTTGAGCTTCACATGGAAGTAATCGCGTAATAGTGAAATCTTTTGCTGTGGACATTATGTGATGTCATAGATGTATATCCACAACAACATGAGTCAATTGAGCAAATGTCGGGACAACTAGGGCTTGGACGGGTAACTCGGGTACTCGGGTACTCGGGTCGGGTTAGTCCTGAGTAGGACCCGGGTACCCAGCCCCCCCCCCCCATCCCCCGTGGCTAGTCACCTGACATACTGTTTAATGTTTAAAACTCAATGGTTACACTACAAGTATGGATGATGTTCACATTTCTTCCTGACTATGCAAGCATTCGTTCTGACTTTAATATGTTTGAGTAAGGAAAAAGCATCTATCAACTGCAGTGTATACAGATCGTTTTATATGTGTATCTTAATAGTTTTTGCCAGGGCTGCGGTAAAACAATTCACATTTGGACATTTTGTACCCAAATCTTGAGACCTATAGCCGTAATCCTGGTAGGGCCGGGTAATAGGGGGTCAGGTACCCGGGTAGTAAATTTGGACTCGTCCCAGCCCTAGTGACAACCTTTGGAAAATGAACTTGAGGAATGTGCGTTGAATGTGACCCCCGTCCTGGAAGGCCGGTGATGTCAGCAACACTAGAAATGATCCAGAGCATCCAGGATATGGTGATGGTCGCCCGGCGATTGACTGAGCATCATATTTCAGTAGGCATTTTCCAGGAAAGAATACATTCCATTATCACAGAAACTTTGGCAATGAAGAAAGTATCAGCTTGTTATGTCCCATTGCTTCTGACACCTGATAAAATAGAGGCAACAAAACCCTTTCCATTATTCATAAGATATCTCTGCCAAAAACAAGTCAATTGTATTATTCCAACTATATCAAATAGAGATGATACACAGTGAAATCACAACAGTTCTTATGATAAACTAGCTCTGTTTGAAGCTGATCTAGAAAGGTTCTTGCAACGATTTGTGTCCATGAATGACACCTGGAGTCCTCACTTCCAGCCCGAATCCAAACAACAATCAAAACAGTCAAAGCATTTGACATCATCATCACCAAAGAATACAAAGATTGTCCCCTCAACTGGAAAGGTTATAGCCTCCGTGTGGAAACTGCGGGAAACTGGGAAAAGGTCTGCTCTTCCAATCAGTCAGTGCAGTGGCTACAAGCCAAGAGTGTAGCTTTGAACCCCTTTAACACTAACCTTATTCTACTGATCTGGGCCCCGTTCCTCAAAGTGATCTTAGCGCTACGATGATCGTAAGCCTATGGTATAGTATGGGACTTACGATCACCTTAGTGCTAAGATCGCTTTGAGGAACGGGGCCCACGATCTGTAAGAGTTCCATCTGTTCCCAAACATGAAGAAAACTCTAGCCAGGACCCATTTTGACTGGAATAATGATGACATTATAGCAGCTGTAGAGAATGTTTTGGACAGCCAAGATAACTGCTATGAAACTGGGATAAAATCCCTCCATCGTTGACGGAAGTGTATCAATGTGGAAGGGGATTGTGTTGAAAAATAGATCATTTTAATGTCGTCAGGACAAGTTTTCCTGTTTGATTTATTGATCAGCCCTCATAACTACATTTAACGATCCAACAAAACCAGTGATTTGTATTTGCAAAACATGAATTACAGTAATGACACAAAATCAGAAGCAGCTGTCCATGTTTCCCTACAGACAGACTGTTGATCCATATCTGCATAGAGATGACGTAATATTTTAGCTTCCTATTTGCAACATATAAACTTACTAAATATGATGCATAGAATGTTTTTACTTAGATGAAAATATAATGACTACTGACTGAAAGCCCCCCCCCCCCCCCCCCATCAGGATCCTCAGACAGAGTGGTTTATGTTAAATGTGTATATTTTAGGGACAATACTAGACCTTCCAGTTTTTCACTAGTCTTGGACTAGTGACCTTGTTTAACCCAGTACACTAATATCCTTTCGGAAAAGTTCCAGGTCACATATGTGTGTTGTAAAACATTCTTTATATGAATTATGGGGGAAATTAATAACCTAAATCTGACATTTATAGCCCTGGAACATGCATAATTCATGACAGTTAAAATGTGATATACTGAGAGATATGCCCTAGTTATAGCATAACATAGCCAGCACAGAAACAAGTCATCCTACACTGTATAGTCGCTTCTCTATTCTCACCTGTTCCATTTCCTCAGGACAATCCCATTCTCTTTGTAAAGTACCAATTCCAGTACTTTTGGACCCGTGAAGATCCGGGGTAGAATAGGTCTTCAGCAACCCATGCTTGCCGTAAAAGGCGACTATGCTTGTTGTAAAAGGCGACTAACGGATCGGGTGGTCAGGCTCGCTGACTTGGTTGATGCATGTCATCGATCCCAATTGCGTGGATCGATGCTCATTATATCAATCACTGGATTGTCTGGTCCAGACTTGATTATTTTTACAGCCGCCGTCATATAGCTGGAATATTGCTGAGTGCGGCGTAAAACAACAAACCAAACCAAAATCCAGTACTTTTGGGGGGTTAAGTCCCAACCGGGATTCAAACCCACATTCTCAGAGTGAGGCACCTAATTGCCAGCACACAAAGTCATCTAGCCCACTCAGCTTCCGAGGCTTCCACAAAAATGAAAGTCTGAAAATTGGTAGTCTAGTTCACATACTTTGTGTACCCCTCTGATAAATGTAAATTGGCACGACTCCCATGGCTGAAAGCTATGAAAACACAATACCAAAAAAAATATGAGATATGTACTTTCCTATGGAAGTGTTATACCAAATATAACATTTGTTGCATTTGACCACTTTCTACATGGCACAGTGTGTTCACAACCCCATTTTCACTGACAACTTGTCTGTTGTATGGCACTGTATCTTGCTGCTTATGACTTCAGGAAAAATATTGTTACGAGTTGATTCCAAAGTTGCAACTCGAAAGATGGTTCTTGCTGTTACCCTGCCTGGAGCTTGTCAATAAGGGGATAAAACAAGGACTGTTCGGGTCGGAGTCACTATGCTGTGTCTGAGTTGGGTTTCCACACATGTTCGTATATGTGTATGTGTGTCTGCTTGTACTAGCCCAGACTAATTATAGTGCTAGCCCACTGAGAAACCATGCAGCAATTTAACATGAATGCCCTACTCAGGCACAGTATACACATAACTTTGAGCTGATCAGTCCCTATTTTATCCTAATGACAAGTGCCAGGCAGGGAAACAACAAGTGCCATCTTTTCACATATTTTGGTATGCCACGACCAGGGATCGAACCCCCGATCTGCTCCCCGGGCAGACACTCTATCCACTACACCATGGAGTGATCTTTATGAACTTTGAAACATATACATGTACACTAAACTACATTTATAACGAACATGCTTATAACGAACTGACGGATTTAACAAACTGGTTTTTGTTCCTGTTAATTTGCTGTATATATGCTGTAAATGTGCTTATAACGAACAATGGTCAAAACAAACTAAATTTAGTGGTCCCTTTGAATTCGTTATAACCGTATATCACTGTACATTCAATTTGATTCCAAATATAATGCTTGTCTCATATTCAAATATTAAATTGTGAAAATGTCTGATTAGGTCATATCTAATCTATACTATTGTGTAAACATTGAATTTCATGCTTTGTGCAGGTACTA